GTGAGACTGTGAAAGTGAGTGCCTGTACCTTCTCGTTCCAGATCCCAAGCCATTTTCAGCTATCACCTTTCCACTGCAACACACTTAGCCATGACCATTTTAGGAAACATAGTGACATCATTTTCAAATTCATATCCTAAATCTTAACATCATGCTTCATTGTCCTGAGGCATTATAGGAGGTAGTCTTCCTAATCTTTCCCTACTATCCCTGAACCTACACTCAGCTTGGATCTTTCTGAAGTTCCCAACTCTTTTTCTCCCCTATCTGAACAGTAGCCAACACAGATACGCATCATACGTGCATATAGAATTACATAGATTTTTGTGAGTTTATTTATACATATGGTATCAAACTATACACCATATTCTGCAACTTGCTATTTTCATGTCTTACAGATCTTTCTATATCAGAATATATTGGCCTACCTCATTATTCCTTAGAATTGAATAGAAAAAAACACATGTACCATGTCAGTTTCACCAACTTTTATTGACAAGCATTCATGTTGTGATCTTCTTCCTATTAGAAACAAAACTGTAGTATCATCTTTGTTCAGGCTCCTGGTTCATAGGTGTGAGTATTTATAGTTAGCGTTTCTCAAATCTGGCTTCACGTTAAAAACATGTGGAGAGCTTTCAAAAATACCGCTGCCCATGCTCCCCAGCCTCTCCCTCCACTAGACCAGTTAAATCAGAATCTGGGAATGGAGCCCAGGCATGGGTATTTAATAAAATCTCCCCAGGTAATTTTAATATGCAACCAAGGTGGAGAATCATTAATAATTACGAAGAATTGGAATTGCTGACTTGAAGGGTATATACATTTTACTTTTTTTTTTTTTACATTATACAGTTTGAACTCATTTTGTAAATGGTTAATAACACACAGTTGCAAATTATATGGTATCATTACTTCTGCTCTAAGTAAAATTCTCAGGAAATCTGGAAGTAGAAATTAAGTACCTTTCTTTATAGGGTCTCTTTCTAAGCTGAAATGGCATCTCCTCCCAGATGCCTATGTAAAGTGAGTGTCCACCCTACCTCACCTCATTACTTTCATAGTACTGGGCTTGTTTTCTTTGTATTACAGGCATAGCTCAGAGATGTTGCTAGTTTGGTTCCAGACCACCAAAATAAAGCAAACGTCACTACAAAGTGAGTCCAGTGTATTTTTTCTGTCTCCTGGTGCATATGAAAGTTAGTTATGTTTACACTATACGAAGTCTATTAAGTTGCAATGGCTTAATGTCTAAAAAAAATGTACATACCTTAATTGGGAAATACTTTATTGCTAAAAAACTTCTAACTACCATCCAGGCTTTTAGCAAGCTGTAATCACTGAACACAGATCACCATAATAAATATAATAATAATGAAAAACTAAAAATATTGTGAGAATTATGAAAACATGACACTGAGACACGAAGTAAGTAAATGCTATTGGGAAAAATGGCGCCAGTAGACTTGCTCGACACAGTGTGGCCATAAACCTTCAATTTGTCAAACACACACACAAACACACACACACACACTATCTGTGAATCACAATAAAGCAAAGCACAGTAAAATGAGTTATGTCTATCCTTGTGACAATGTGCAATCATTTCATGTAGTTGATCATTGACTTTTATAGCCCCTAATCTCCAACAGAAGTCCAAGAGAACAGGACCCAATCTGTCTTATTCACCCAGTAATCCTAATGCCTATTATAACAGGACCTAGAATATAATAGATGGTCAATATGTGTGGAATACATCAGTCCCTGTGGTTGTCTAGTCAGTGGTTAAGCATGTTAGGCTGTGGAAAGGACCAGTAAAATGAAGGAGAAATACTGGTTGTTCTCATTCCCCAGACCTAGCCTTTCCAAGTGGAAAAGAAGTATTTCTTTATTTATAATTTAATTTAATTTTAATTCCAGTATAGTTAACATAAAACATGTACTTTACCTTAGCCAAAAGAACCTACAAACCCACACTATCATACAAGAAACAGATTAATGTGTGGCAAACCTTGACCATGTGGTTTAAAAAAAAAAAACACAAAGAAATTAGAAGGTAGAATATGATGAGCCACCTTCAGTAATAAATTTTTCCCTTCTCTGCCATCCCCCTGCATTTTGGTAAACATCTAAAAAAACTTATACAGCAAATGGTACAGTTAAGCATGAGGAACACTTGGAAGATCTGGGCGCAGAGAGTATCAGCTGTCACTGAGAACATGATTCCTCAGCTGTTCTTTCCCCTTATAAGTAAGTCTTGTCACATAGTCCTATAAAAAGGAGGGGGTCAATCAAGACAGCAATTTCCTTTTGATTCTGATTATCATATTAAATTACTCAGGATCATAGTTGTAGAAAGCCTCTAAATTCTTCTTTCTCCACCTATAATTTCTGTGTATAACAAATAATGCCTAACCAAGCACCATATACATTATGTCCAACAGGACGAACCATTTTTTTAAAAGGCCTCAGTGTTGTAAATTGTGAACATGTTTAGACTTTCCTTCTATATTATACCTGACTAAAACATAAGGAATATTGACTAAGTGGGAATGAGACCTTACATATCTTATATTTGAAGTTTCAGGGTGACTTGTTTTTACATTTTTTAGACTTTTTTCCACTAATTTTTTTAATTTTAGGATAGTTCTAGATTTATGGAAAAGTTGAGAGAAGTTCTCATGCACTCCACACCCAGTTTTTCTACTGTTAGCAAGTGTATGGTACGCTTGTCACAAGAAACCAGTATTGATACACTATTAGTAGCAAAAAGAAGCCCAGGCTTTATTCATATTTCTACCTAATGTTCTATTCTAATTTTTAGATTTGAGACAAGCAATATACCTAGGTTAAATATGTTCAGATTCTCCTGGCTGTCCTGTATGTGAGACATGCGTACCAGCAGCTAATGTAGACAATGACTGAGTTCTTAGTGTGGGGCAGCAAAGGAAAGAGCTAATAAAAACACTTCTGGGGATGCCTGGGTGGCTCAGTTGGTTAAGGATCCACCTTAGGCTCAGGTCATGATCCTAGGGTCCTGGGATCAAGCCCCGCATTGGGCTCCTTGCTCAGCAGAGAGTCTACTTCTCCCTCTGCTGCTTCCCCTACTTGTGCTCTCCCCCTCTCCCACTCTCTCTCAAGTGAATTAAAAAAAAAGAAAAATCATAAAAAAAGAAAAAAGAAAAAAAAAAAAACACTTCTCCTGAACCTATGTGGATAATATAATCCAGGAGATGGGCGCCTGGATGGCTCAATTGGTTAAGCGACTGCCTTCAGCTCAGGTCATGATCCTGGAGTCCCGGAATCGAGTCCCACATTGGGCTCCCTGCTCAGCAGGGAGTCTGCTTCTCCCTCTGACCCTCTTCCCTCTCGTGTTCTCTATCTCTCATTCTCTCTCTCTCAAATAAATAAAGAAAATCTTTAAAATATATATATATATATATATATATACATATATATATATATATATATATATATATATATATAAAATCCAGTAGATCAGGCCACCCTAGGTGATAAGGAGATTGATACTAGGGGTGAGATGTGACTTAAATAAACTATTGCTAATATGGGAGTCTAAATGTCTCTTAGTTGTAATATATGAAGAAGAATAGTGACCTTCCCCAAATTGGGGAATGCTTTTATATCAGACCAAAAGAAAATGGAAAATGGATAACAAATCTATATCTTTAAACACAATATTCAACAACTAGAATATAAATGTGTGTATTTACACATATACATTTATATATGTATGTGTGTATATATGTATATGTGTGTGCATATACATACATATATATATATACACACACACTCATTAATTAAATACCTCACAAGTTAAAAAGAACAGAAGTGAAGATGGTACATTGGTTAATCTTATGTTTCTTAATATGAGAATCTAGCTTTGCAAACTGAGGAACCCAAAGACAGAAAAGGAAAAATTTTCAAGTTGCCCATCAAAACTCACACCATATTGATAATTAAAGTCCTTTTCTCTCTTTATTTCTCTGCCCACTTAGATAAAAAGTATATCTTACCTCCCTGGTATGGATAAAAAAAAATTCCAGGAGATAAGTAATTAGGCTTTATGCAATTTAGGAAGTAAAATGAATAAGTATCTACTTTGACAGTTATTTTACTATTAGAAAAGCTGTTTTGCAAGAAGGTAAATCTTGCTGTCATTCCATTCCATTTAATTTTTTTCATTATAGAGAGAAAATTAAGTTATAGGAAATAGTTTTGAATTATTTTTCTTTAGCATACAGTTCATTACAATTAAAAAGAGAGAGAGGGAGGGATGGAGAGAGAGGCAGAGTTTGTGCTCCCTAGAAGGGAAAGCACTTTAATATTTGATGGTCTTTCCTTATACGTCTGCTTTTTATTTTTAAACACCACCACCTCTTTGCTGACCAACAACTTCTTGCAAATTATGGCAAGGGTAGGGGAGGAGCATGAGCAAAGGAGTTGAGTGAAAGTTGGTGATACTCCCTGCCAAAATTCCAAGTTGAAATCAAATCCTTCGGTAAAGTTTCTTAGGCATGAAAACAAGAAAAAGATTTACAAATTCAGCAGAACTGTAATTCTACCAAGAAAAAGTATCAGTCAATCTACTTGACTGTCACCAAAGGATCTGAAGCTGGCTTTGTGATACTTCTTTCTCCTTTATATATGGAGGTGGGGGTGGGGGAGGCAAAAGGAGTTAAAAAAAAAAATTGATGAAGCCCTGACCCTTAAGATTCCATTTATAGTCCGAGCCTGAATGCCATCCCCCTTGACTAGCGAACTGTCCAATCCAGCCGCATGTGTCAAGATTCTATTAGGCACTAAGTGAAATATATATGCATGCCCTTATACCATTTAACACTCTGGGTCCACCTTCAAAACACTGGGCTGTGGATCAACTGAAGCACCACTCCTCTTCCAAGACTCATTTTGACAGGTTCTTTTGCAGGTGCTCTCTTTCTTTCTTTCTTTCTTTTTAACCCATTGTTTTTAACAAAATGGCACCAAAGAAGGATGTGAAGAAACCTGCTGCTGCTGCTGCCGCCCCAGCCCCAGCCCCAGCACCTGCACCTGCACCTGCCCCAGCCAAACCCAAAGAAGAAAAAATTGACCTCTCTGCCATTAAGGTAACTAAAGAGGTGAACTGTTTGGTCACTGAAACATCTTTCAACAGTAGGAAACTCTAGGAACTTGCCAAGGGGTATATTTTTCATTGAGAGAGACAGCGTTACTACATGGACTGGTAGATTGGGGGAGAAAAGAATCCTGGTTAAAAAATAAATAAACTCTAGCATATAATTTCATTCCAATGAATATGATAGTGTCTGTGGAACCTGTATTTGCTCTCATTTTTTGTTCTCTGGTTTTCTTTTTTCCCCTAAATGGTCAGAGTGCAATTTAGGGACAAAGTGTGTAAGTGCAAAGGTGTTTTACCAATACTTACACCAGTGTTTTATTTTGTTTCGTTTTGTTTCATCTTGTTTCATTTGAAACAAAATCTCTGTAGAAACTGGATCCCTTACCTTAATGCTACATCAAAAGGAAATTTTCCGCCCCTACTTGTTTCCAAAAGTTTAAAAACAGCTGATGACCCAGTTGTCCTGGCTGTATTTATTTGACAGCGGCTTTATTTCATCTGAAAAAGAGAAGATTTTTGCAATTCAAGTTAATTCCCCCTTCAGTTTTGCTTAATAAAATTTGATACAACACTAAATTAGATCTCAGTGAAGACAATTATGCACTCAAGTGTTTCAGTGACTCTAACTGTCATCTTGTTTATTTATATACAGTATTTAATTCAGAATGTGTGAGCTGCTTCTAAATGAAACTAATCCCCCAAATACGATAAAACTTGTTATATGGCTTTTAGCTTATGTCTTTGAGCTATTGTATATTGATCTTAAACTAAGGAGAATGTGATTGATTTTTGTGTCAACACTTGGCTGTGATCAAAGTTCTCAACTGCCAAAAGATTACCTGCTTATGGTAAAATGATGCAGTGGATGTGCCTGTTACCTCTCAGTGATGTGATTCCCTCAAACATGCACCTTCTCCTCCTTCACTGGGGCTGGATTGGTCTGAATGACATTTTGAAAATCTTTATCTAATGAACTCTGCCTTATATGGAAAACTAACAGGCTAAAGGGCCTTATTAGGTGATCTTCTCTCTTAAGCCAAAAGTTCTGTACATAGTAAATCTAAATTTTGCTAACTTAATACTATTTAATTGCAAAGACAAAGCTGACCTATAAATAAACATTTCATTGAGTAATTTAGTATAATCACAGATTTTAAAAAATACTTCTGACATAAATACTGCATTGGACCACCCTTAGATATATGTGGTGACATTAAATGAATACATCCATAATTTTTGTAGCATTCTGGTTAAACATGAAATTTTATGTTCCAAAGTAGGAGTGGATTGTGAAATATTTTATCTTGAGTGTGTAGGTACCTAAAGTCATATTTGAAAAAAGCTGGTCAGAGAATCTAATATTGGTTAGGAACTATTCTTAATGAATACCCACTTAGGAGGAGAAATGCATGTCAGATCTTCTAATGAATGGTTTTCTACCTAAAAGACTGCATATAATTCATTAAGAGGAAAACAAATTTTTCAACTCCAGCAATTCTAGTTAATGTATCTTTATAGATGCACACTGACTACATTATATAATGAACGTGATTACGGCCATGACAATAATTCCAATCATCGGTATTTTTTGACTCTCCACTTTATCCTAAGAGTAGAGGTGTGAATCAGTGTCAAAGCTATTCCTCTGTATTTATTGTGATTTATAAGACAACATTACCTCTTTGCATCTAGGATTACAAGTATCTGGGGGAGAAAAATGTGCCTTCTTAAGAAGAAAAGGAAATATCCCACTAATGAATATAGGCATTAATTTTCTTCCCTGAAGAAATACAAAATGACTGAATGAATGAATGAATAAGTAAATTTATTTATTCATTTATTTACTTTGGCAGTAAGAAAACTCCAAGAAAAGACAAAATATCACTTAAAATTAAACTGATTAGTTGTTCACAGCAGAGAAGTGATGATGCTCTTTTAAATCTTGAAAAACTGGTTTATCCTTTCATCTATATGTTGAATTAATGCCAATACAGCTAAGGTAGCAAGCACAACTACGCAAAAGAAAAAATACTCTTAGAACGTCTCTGCAGTGATGAGGTGTGTTCCATCTTCACTAGTTCATTACAAAACGAGAGATGGGATGGATCCTGATAAGGATGCAAACCAAAAAGTAGCAATTAAATGAATCTAGAAGAAACAGGAGGAATTTAACCTTTATGTTTCATTCAGAGAGCCTACTCCTAATAGAGAGAAAATGAAAAGAACAAGATTGAAACTAACATAATTTTGTAAAGGAATTTTAAATGCCTTCAATGATTTACATTCATCAATATGAAATCAGTGCACATTTATAGGTATTATAACCAACGAATGTGGTACAACTTGAGAACTATATAAAATTTAATTTCATCCCAGTAGGTAACAAGGCTAATTAAAATGTACATTAAAACATTTCATATTATGATGCTTTTAATCACTTAATGATGTTTCTAGATATATTACCTCATATAAGTTACAAACTTTTTTCAAGCAGAGAAAATGAACTCTAAAGAAATTAATAGAGCTGTTATATGTGTTCATTAACTTTCTGAAAACTTGATAAAGAACAAAACTTAATTGGATTTTAAACTTTCTTTCATAAATCATAAGATTAGAAATCCGGCAGTCCTCATCAAAAGGAATGAGATCTTGCCATTTGCAATGACGTGGATGGAACTGGAAGGTGTTATGCTGAGCGAAATAAGTCAATCAGAGAAAGACACGTATCATATGACCTCAGTGATATGAGGAATTCTTAATCTCAGGAAACAAACTGAGGGTTGCTGGAGTGGGGGGGTGGGATGGATGGGATGGCTGGGTGATAGACATTGGGGAGGGTATGTGCTATGGTGAGCGCTGTGAATTGTGCAAGACTGTTGAATCACAGATCTGTACTTCTGAAACAAATAATGCAATATATGTTAAGAAAAAAAAAGAAGAAGAAGATAGCAGGAGGAGAAGAATGAAGGGGGGGGAATTCGGAGGGGGAGACGAACCATGAGAGATGATGGACTCTGAAAAACAAACTGAGGGTTCTAGAGGGGAGGGGGGTGGGAGGATGGGTTAGCCTGGTGATGGGTATTAAAGAGGGCACGTTCTGCATGGAGCACTGGGTGTTATGCACAAACAATGAATCATGGAACACTACATCAAAAACTAATGACATAATGTATGGTGATTAACATAACAATAAAAAATTTAAAAAAAAAGAAATCTGGTTGTCCTTTAGACTTTGAGTAATGCTAACGTGTAAGAATAACTATCTCTGTGTAGGACTACAGGCATAGGAATAGTAATATTTAATTCCTCAATACTATTCCTAGCTAATATCTATGTTCTACCATATAATATACCATATTTATCAGCCATAAAGTTAACTCCCCTTAAACTCTGAACAATCTTTAATATTGTTAATTAGTTTTATCAATTTCTGTAATGTGCTTTCCAACCTGATTTCCTAGTTTGTTGGTTATTTAGAACATTTGTTCAGTTGTTCTAACACAAAACCTTTGATATTCATGGAGGGAATGCTTACCTGATGTCCTATGCCCATGAATGTTCTATGAGTACCCTTTTCAAAAAACACAAAACTGCTGATATTTGAACATTAAAGTTGCTGTCCTGGGTGGTTCTAAGCACTCTTTGCTTTCAGAGAGCTGACACTTCCAACAATGATGCCCAGGCTAAAGAACACTGCCTGACAGAATCTCAAGTGTAAGACTTAAAATCCACCATGAGTATAGTTGCAGGTGCAAACATAAGAATTAACACCTGCTGCCCAACACTTCAGCCAAGTGTTGAAATGATGAAAGAAAACAAGTAATGAGATGACTATGTGCCTAGATTTTTAAAAATCTTCAATGTGTAAGTAAATGTTTTGCATGATGCATGCCTTAGTTGATATGCCAGGATTGCTATGAGGTGATGAGACTTTGAATTGTGTCTTTCCTTGTGCTGCTTAAGTTTTAATTCTCACCATATTCACTATAATTCAATCAGGTCATCTCTGACTAGATACTGCAGGAGAAATTACAAAAAGTGGTAAAGGTACAGAATGCATTGACAGAAACTCATCGATAACAAATCTCAATAATTTACTGCACAGTTGGGGAGATTTAAGCTTTCAATTTAAGGGGTAATGTGGAAATAGAGCATTCCCAATAAATACATCTATTTACTGATGGGTATTCAGTGGAGGCAAATATTCTGTATACATTCGCAACACCTGACTTGTTCTGGTTCAGGTACAGGATTGTCTGTGTTAATCTACAAATTCTTTTTTCTCGGCTCTAATAAGGCTAATACAAACCCAGTCCCACTTTGAAGAATTCTTGGGAAAAATCAAATGAGGTCATAGCCCATGAAAGGCTTTGGAAATTATAAAGTTCTTTGTAATATAATAATAAATATTCATTGAGATTTAACTCTGTGCCCTATTATCTTATTTAATCCTCAAAACAGTATATTGAGGTTGTTTTTAGCCTCATTTTGCAAGAAAAGAAACTGAGTCTAATAAGGATGAGTGCTATGTCCACGATCAAATAACTAGGTGATGGAGCTAGGATTTAACCTCTCAGCCAAATCCAGAGTCAACTGTGGTAATCATATCCTAAACCACCTCCTGTTTATAAAGAGTAAGCTGCTGTTAAGAATGCATGAAGAAGGGGTGCTTGGGTGGCTCAGTCGGCTGAGTGGCTGACTCTTGATTTCAGGTCAGGTCATGATCTCAGGATCCTGGGATAGAGCTCCGCAAAGGGCTCCCCGCTCAGCAGGGAGTCTGCTTGAGGGCTCTCTCCCTCTCTCTCAGCTCCTCCTCCCGCTTGCACTCTTTCTCTCTCTCTCAAATAAATAAATAAATCTTAAAAAAAAAAAAAAGAATGCATGAGGAAAGGGCACCTGGGTGGCCCAGTTGGTTAAGTGTCTGACTCTTGATTTCAACTCAGGTCATGATCTCAGGGTTGTGAGATCAAGCCCCATGTCAGGCTCCAC